TCGCCAAGCCCTAGGAAGTGGATTGATTTCACTAATGAAAACATATTCATTTTCCAATGCCAAACATTTGCACATGCTGTTGGAAGAATCAGATCCGGAAACAAGAAATTCTAAACGACTAAACCCATTTCTATAATCATTTGACTTCGACGACGTGGATTCCAACTCTTAGCGATTTAATTTTAAAATACAAGAAGTGAGAAAATGTTAACAATTAACACATTGATGAGAAGATGAGAAGTGAGAACCGTGACAATGTTATTGTTTAATGAATTTGAGCTCACTTAACTCAGTAGTACCTTCCGTGAGATTTGCAAAGCTCTGGCTTTAATGGAGATTGTTTACTCGAGTTTAGTTTAATGGACATTGTTTACTCTGTAATCTGTATTGAGGGGTTGTGAGTTGTGACATTTAGGAATTGGAATGGCTTATTTTAATTCTAATCGTTTGGTTGGTCAGAATAGAATTTTCAATTTCCATTTATGGTAGAATGGCATTTTCCCATACGAGGGAATGGCCCCTCTGGTCTCCTTTTTTTGGGAAGGAGAATCTCATTCCATTTCTGGTAGAATCCTCAAGATTCCTCTTCAAACAAAAAATAAAATTTATTATTGATGGTAGGGTATCCAAAGAGGTGTTTAGCTCTCTGAGTGAAAAAACATGTCCAAGAAGCTTACCAATTGGAAGCAAAATACTCTTTTTTAGCTGGCAAGATGACTCTTATTAATTTCGCTGCATCTATGATCCCCCAGTTTGTGATGTAGTCTTTCAAAATCCCGGATAATGTGGTTAAGGATTTAGAGAGAGTTCAAAGGGATTTTATTTGGTCTAAATCCAGAGGTCAAAAGCCTTTTCATCTTGTTAATTGGAAGAGAGTGTGTACGGCCAAATGTTTAGAGGGTTTGGGTTTGGGCCTCAAGAATCTTAAATGGGTTAATAAGGCTTTTCTTGCTAAGCTTGGTTGGAAAGTTATTACGAATAGGGTAAGAGTTGTCAGCTCCAAGTATCTTAGTAATTCTAGTTTTTTTTGGGATGTAGTTCCAAAAAAGGGATATTTTGGGGTTGGAGGGGCATTCTTACTTCTAGAGATTTGCTTAAGAGGGGAATAGGCTGGAGAGTTGGTGATGGCAATCAAATAAATTTTTGAAAAGACTCATGGGTTGGTAACTCCCCTCTATTGAATAGGGTGAACCGTGAGGGCATCACAAATTTGGATTTGACAGTGAGTAGTGTAATTGACTGTGAAAGAAACATTTGGAGGGATGATCTTATCAAAGATTTGGTCCCTCTAGAAATTTGGCATTGTATTGAGCCTATTTTAATCCCTTCTACCCAAAAAAAAGATTGTGTGGTTTGGAGGCTCACGCCCAGATGGCAAGTTCTCTATTAGGTCAACGTATAATGAGGAATGTCTTACTTTATAATTTTGACTTTCACAAAAATTTCTAGAGGCTTAAAATACCTCCCGAAATCATGGTGTTCCTTTTCCTGCTTCTTAATGTTCCTATGGCATTAAGAAACCGGGGGTTTAACTTAAAGTGACCTTTGTGGTGAGGAAGAGGATTCTAATCACTTGTTTCTTAAACGTTCCTATCGCAGCTGGTGAGTTTATTTCTTCCTGTCCCCATTGTAAGTGATTTGTCAATCAACCAGTGGTGGTCTAGAATTTCTAAGAGTGTAAGATGGTATATATGATCAATATTTTAGACAAAAGCTTATAATATTGATGTGGTTTATTTGGAAGAATAGAAATGAGAATGCTTTAAACAATAAATCTTCTCAGCCCTGGATTATTATGGACAGGGCTTTATCCCTTATCCCTTTGGGAGGAGGTTAGGGTGAGTAATGTGAGTGATCTAGTGAAATCTTTAAAAGATTGGAAGGCGATTGGGGGTGTAACTCAAGACGTGGGACCATCAAGGTTAATTTATAATGCATCCCGTAATTTGGATGGTCGGTGTTCAATTGGGTGTATTGCTAGGAACCTTTTGGATTCAGTTCTTGATTTCAAAGCTTATATTATTTTGGTTTCACCTCTATTAATCTGACCTAGGCTTGGGCTGCTTGGGAATCCATTAACCTAGCACTAAATTATAAAGATTCCTCAGCCATTTTTGAAGGCGATTCAAAGCTTGTGGTCGATTGTCATAGAAGGAAAACAAAGGCTTTATGGAATTTGGTCTCCATCATCAATGGCCTCAGCGTTTCGTCATATTTTATCTCTATCATCACCTTCTAGCATGCATTTTGGAAAGCAAATCAAGGGACGGATTGGCTCGCTCTAATGCATTTTTTGGTAGGAGTGTTAGTTTAGATTGTTTACCTTGGGAAGTCAGATTTGTTTTTGGGACTCTTGGGGAAGAGCTACCCTAGTTTGTGTAGCTCATTTTTTTATCAAAAAAAAAAAAAAAAAACAAAAGAATCTCATTCTAGTTAGCTAAATGAAAAAAAAAAGATCTATATAAATATATTAAGCTGAAATGTCTACCTAAGAAGGCCTTAGGATGAGGGAAATGGAATCTAATAGTATCTTTTTGCCTTTTTCATAGAAATTACAAGAATGCCACTCTCTACCAACTCTCTCTCCTTTGCATTTTTTTTCTTTTAAATTACAAGAATGTCACTCTCTCCTACCAATTCTCTCTCTTGCTTTTTTTTCTTTCAAATTACAAAAATGCCACTTTCTCTCTTACCAATTCTCTCTCTCTCTCTTGTTCTTTTTTTTTAATTATAAGAATGTCACTCTCTCTCCTACCAATTCTCTCTCTCTCTTTCTTACAAATTACAATAATGCCATCTCTCTTTCCTTATAAATTACAAAAATGCCACTCTCTCTCCAACTGAGGGAGACCTCAACTCGGCATCTTGACTACTAGGGGACCTGCAATCAAAGGTAGTCGAGTTTGAGCCGAGCTGAGCTCGAACTTCTGAGCTCAAGCTTAAGTCTCTAATTCGAATTGAGCTCGAGCTAGACAACACCTTGACCACTGAGGGAGACCTCGGCTCAGCACCTTGACAACTGAGGGAGACCTCAGCTCGACACCTTGTCAACTAAGGGAGACCTTAGCTCGACACCTCGCCTGGTAGGGAAACCTCAGTTCAACACTTCAGCAGCTAAGGGAGACCTGGTAATTGAGGGAGACCCCAGATCGGCACCTTAACTGCTTGAGAGACCTGCAATCAAAAATAACTGAACTCAAATTTCCGAACTTTTGACTCGAACTCAAAATCAAGTCTCTAATTCAAATTGAACTTGAACCTGATAGCTTATAAGCGAGCCCAGCAACACAGGGCCCCTCCGCTAGTTAGTGACTTAAAACCCTCAAACCCAATTTATTCTTATCCAATACCAATCGTCCTTGGGAATTGTGTGCATCTTATGGAATGGAATTACAATTTACATCTGAACCAAACAAATAAGGATAGGCAATTCCAGTTCTGATTCTCATCCCAATCACAAAGTCTCTAAAACCTTGTTTTGTGAATTGTGACAACTGATTAAATCTACTTTAGATTCTAGCACTTCGTGATTTACACGTGTATACGTTTTCAGAACCCCAGACTATCCTTATATTATTTTTAATACCATATTGCCTCTAAAGTTCTAAAACACTACATGTTTTTCTCATCAAAGCCTAATGACTCGCGCCTTTGATGAAGTGCTGCTAAACGGTAAAACAGGTGGTTTAACGCCTTCGAGGAGCATGTATAATGAATGGGTCATGGGTGTTTTAGTATTTTTCACGCCTTCAAGTGAGCAATTTGATAATTTCCCTGTTAACTATTGAAATCCAACCAACCGACTACCGATGATGGCTCAGTAGTTTTTTGGCGGATTGTAGTGGAGATTAGGATCAAATCCTGTGTTCCTACCGGGGTTGGGGGTTTATTGGTACAAGAGGGACAGGCCACAGGGTGTAGCCCCATGAATAAAAAAAAAAAAAAACTTAATGAAATCCAAAATAAAACATTTAATAGCTAAGTGTCATAACCCCTTATAAGATTATGAATCCATTTAACTTTGGATCGAGTTAGGATTGAGGCCTTAATCAACTCGAACTTGACTAAATTTCATATTTTCATGCTCAAATTTTATATAGATATGTATTTATGCAAGTATTTATATATGTATATAATTATATATATATATATATATATATATATATATAAATATACATATTTATATATTTTTTATTACAAATATTTTTATATGTATATGTGTTTATATATCTATACAATACATATACATTATATGTTAAAAATTTAAGTTTAAAGACAACTTTTTTTAACAAGATAACAATGTTTTTTTACACAAAATAATGCTAATATTAAATTAATATAAACCCTAATTAAAATCTAGGAAATAAATACATTTTAAAAAATAAAACAATCCAACAAATCCAAAACTAAATTGAATTTAAGTCAAACCTGACTTAATCTATCAACAACTCGGATTGGGTTAGAGTTGACCTCAACCTAACTTAACCCAGGCCTGAGAAGGGGGTGGGTTTCGGCACTCGGCAGTATACTCAAATAAATGATAATAACAAGGCAAAATCTATAATGTGAAACACACAAATTGATAAAAGTGAGACATTGCAGATAACAACTTTAAATTATACTAAATCCTTTAATGTGATTATGATTTATGAATCGTGAATTAATAAAATAGAAAATAAATGAATTTATAATGTCTACATCTTCTGCACCGTATTTAGACCACCTTCTCCCCTAAAAAAAAATTATTAATTTATTATATACGTGGACAAGTCATTAGTTTGTATACGGAGACAAGTGGGAAATAAAATCAATAAAACAAAAAAATCTAAGGAAAATAAAATAAAATAATCAATAAAATTTTCTAAGGTAGAGCGAACCATAAATTTTGACGGTGGCTGGGCCATCGGTGGGCATGTGCACGTTGGTTGAGCCGTGTGTTTTCGAACTGAATAATCGAACCAAGACAACGGTAACGTTGCCACGTCGAGAGCCTGATTTCTACGTGGAATCGTCCTGCCATAGCCTTTGCTGAGTGCACTTCTTCAGGGATATTTTCGTCGTCCAGTTGCTTTCTCCTCCACGTCTGATTCCTCTGTTTTTTTCTTCGGGAGAATTCGGTAGAGCGATAAAGAAGAACTCAGGAGAATGGCAAAGAACTGAGCGACCACTGCATTTGTTTCGCTTTCTTTCATTTTGGCTGAGGAATAAAAAGAACTGAAGTCGTTGGGCAAGCGGCGCAGGAAGAGAAAAAGAGGGATGGCCGACCGTTTCTTTATTAACGAAATGCCGGAGTTCGTTGCCGAGACAAATGATGAAACAGGCGCCGAAGGCATCGAAGATTCTCTCTTGAAGCTTCTCTCTCTTCCCTACCCAACTCTCGCGGCGAAACTCAAAAGAACGGCTTTGGATTTGAAAGAAACGGTAATTCCAATCAAACGATAGAAACAATGTTGATTCTGGAGATCCACTAGGGGTTTCTGATGCATTCATTGTTTGTTTTAACAGATTGTGACCAATACATGGGGTTTCAGTGGGCGATGCGTCAGTGACTTCACACTGTACACTGGCTCCCTGGGGACGGCTTTCTTGCTTTTCAAAGCATACCAAGCAACAAAGAACAAAAACGATCTCAACCTTTGCGCTGAGATTGTCAAGGCCTGTGACTCTGCTTCCAGTGGATCTGGGTTCTCTCTCTCTCTCTCTCTCTCTCTCCACAGTTTTTCTTTGACCGTTTTGATTTATGGCTTTATGCGGTTATTGTATAGCAGCGACGTGACATTTATATGTGGGCGAGCTGGTGTTTGTTCTCTGGGCGCTATCGCGGCAAAGCACGCTGGAAACGAGCAGTTGCTTAATCACTACTTAACCCAATTTAAAGAGGTGATAATCTTTAAATTACTCTTATTGATCCATTTTTAATAGCCCAATTTGTTACATTTGCTTCTGTGCTTGAATGAACATCCACATCAATTGAGTGTTTCCTTTCTCCTGCTGCTCACCTCAACAGATCAAACTTCCTAAAAATGTTCCCAATGAGTTGTTGTATGGGAGAGCTGGGTTCTTGTGGGCATGTTTGTTCATAAACAAACACATAGGTAAAGGAACCATTCCTTCCACCCTAACGGTAAGGCTTTTCCACCCTCTGTGTTATGCTATGTTGCTCTGGTTCAAAAGGAGGAGCTTGTTTGATTTCTTAAGAGAAGTGGGGTAAACATTGTTTAGGGTCCAGTGGTGAAAGAAATCATCAAGGATGGAAGACGATTAGCCAGCAAGGTTAGCTGCCCATTGATGTTTGAGTGGTATGGAACGAAATACTGGGGTGCAGCCCATGGATTGGCAGGGATTATGCATGTCTTGATGGACATGGAACTGAAACCAGATGAGCTACAAGATGTAAATGATACTCTCAGCTACATGATTAAGAATCGTTTTTCCAGTGGGAATTACCCCTCGAGTGAGGATGATGGAACTGATTGTCTTGTACATTGGTGTCATGGTGCTCCTGGTGTCGCCCTTACCCTTGTCAAAGCTGCTGAGGTAATTTTCTTTTGATGGTTATAAGATACTGTCACTTGGTTAGGTTGTATATACAAGGAGCATCTCAGGCTGTTGTGCTTGGTGAATTGATAATGCTCCAATCAATGTTTCTGACAAAAGAAATTCCTTGGGAGTGTTACCAAACATCGCCTGAATTTTGCTAGTTTTGTCCCCAACAGATTACTTAGTTTTTCATTCTTCAGTGTCTCCTTTAGTTTCTCTGTATATGTAGCTATATGGAGGAGTTGATGTCTAAGTGGGAAAGAGGTAGGTTCTTTGGTTTTAATTGCCATTTTGCTCATTATTGCCATAAAAATGTTAAATTAAATGGTCAGGTTTTTGGAGGTCGGCAGTTCCTGAAAGCAGCTGGGGACGCTGGAGAGGTGGTCTGGAACCGGGGGCTGCTTAAGCGAGTTGGAATTTGCCATGGCGTCAGTGGCAATGCTTATGTGTTCCTCTCACTCTACCGACTGACTGGTAATTTGGAATTTCTATACAGGGCCAAAGCGTTTGCTTGCTTTCTACTTGACATGGCTCCCAAACTTATATCTGAGGGGAAGATGCATGGAGGTGATTCCCCGTACTCCCTGTTTGAAGGGATTGGAGGTATGGCTTATCTCTTTCTGGACATGATAGAACCTTCTGAAGCCAGGTTCCCAGCTTATGAACTCTGAGAAATGAATGTTTGAGAAGAACTTCTCTATACCGAATTCCCAAATGTGCATATTTGTAAAAAGTAGATAATTGCAGTGGTCTAGAGAGAGAGAGAGAAAGAGAGTGAGCTCAATTTTGATGTGCATCTACCTCAGCAGAAATGATCCATAACTTAATGAAATTGTCTTATCAGATTCTACTGTTGTCTGATAGGACTTCAAGCTTTTTTGTGGTTCAAAAGTCGCAGGAACTTCTACCCATCTTCACTAGTGTTAAGTTTGTAACAGATTTTCTTTCAGTTGGAATGATTTTACCAACAGAGATGATTGCAAGCTTTGATGTGAGGGCAACTGTGTCTATTATGCTTAATGCTTCCTCATTCTGCATATTTTCAACTGGAGCATTCCAGGTAGACTGGGCTCCATTAAATTTGGATTGGAGTTCCATGTTGGTGGGTCTGCAAAACAAATTAAGCAAATGAAAATTGAAGCACAACCTGATCGAAACATACAAAACCATACATTCTTTCTTGCTCCATGAACCTCTTCAACCTAGAACCAGAATAGTAGGCATTGCATTTGAAGATATAATTGTATAGGAGAAAGCAAACATTCAAAATGGATAGAATTCTTCCAGTTTTTTTCAAGTTTAGTCATGTAATGGTACTCCAGATTTTTGATGAGTTCTCATTAGTGTGCAGTAACACAAAGCATCAAGTTTAGGAGATCTGGGCTGCAAAAGAGTGAGGTTCATTCATCAAAATGACAAAATCCACTCTTCACTGTTGAAGGTTGAGACGAGATGAGAAATAGTAAAATGAAAATTAAAAAAAAAAAAAAGAAAGACAAAAGGTCCACCATTGTTTTCACTTTTGTCATGTTGAGAAGTGTGATCTTAAGGGTCCGTTTAGTTCACAGTCGGAACTAAACGAATTTGAATTTGAATGAAATTGGAATCAATTAGAACGGGATTTCATTTCAAGGGAGGAGGGAGGAATCATTTCACCAGGAATGGGAATGGATTTTGATTCTGTCCAATCAAACAGTTAGAATTGGAATATCTTTCTCGATTTTGATTCTGATTTTAGATCCCTATGAATTAAATGGACCCTTACTTTTTGTGTGGGGTATGCTCACAGAAATGTCTTGGGATGGTATCAAAATCCAGAACCCAGTTTGCTTGTTAATTGATTAATTCAACCAGATTCAGCCCTCTGCTGCCCCTGTATCGTCTGAAACAGTTCCAATCCCTTGTCTGCTTCTTCCATTCCCCAACCTTTCTGCCATCCTTTTCATAGGTTAAACAGATTTTCCTTTACAAATAAATTAAACATGAAAATTATTTTATAAGATAACAGGAAAACAGTCGGTCACTACCACCATGTGTATTGGATAGGAAATCTACCCACAAACTCTTCCCACGTCCCTACTCATAAGGTACTACTGTATGTATTGGGAACATCTCCTCGTGATATTCCAATACACGGGAGTCATGGAGGATGTGAGTAGGGTCTGTTGACAGCCCAGGCTGTTGAATTTAGACAGCCAAAATTTAAAAATTCTCTTAACCAAGTATACAGCCAAGCACGATATCAAACTTGTTAACTGAATAAAGTATCAAAGTATTACTATCTGATATCATATGAGATAACTTAGATTTGGATATAGATATACTTTAGAATATATGGATATGGAAAAAAGATATGAAAATACTTGGATATACAAGAAAAAATATATAAGTAACACTAACTCTAAAATTAAATTATATATGAATAAGATATAATCACATGAGAAATACTCAATTCAAACATTACAATCAATATCAATGAGACCATAAACATGTACACATAATAAAATAATTATCACTCTATTTCAATATATTTTTAATTATAATTTTCAATTTTTATTAAATTTTGAAAATGTTTACTTATTTAGTATTTTATATAAATAATAACTCTATTTTTTCAAATAGTAAATATGTTTTCATTTTAGCATATATTATTTCTATTTTACATATAATTGTAAAATAAAACATATAAAATCATTTAAGGTAGATAAAATATTTTTTTATAATTATCAATTTTTATTAAAGTTCAAAAACACTGTAAAAGTGATCAATATACAGTTTCATCAAACTAGGCATTGATATTTGATGCACATTCGTATTGGTGTATATCAGACCATATCCTGTTATGGGCCCGAGCGTAGGATCGCGTCACGGGTCGCTCCACCGCAGGAACCTCAGATCTTCCCTTGCCCTTAGCCTTGCGTACAGGCCCTATTTTGATTATCTCAGGGGTGATTTGTCCAAGAGATCACTTCACTCTCCTTCACTCTCTTTCTTGACTGAATATTCGATATCCTCATTCAATAATAGCGTCTCCTTAAATAGGAGATTACAAGAGGAGGGTTCCTTGTTGGATTCAGCTAGGTTAGTCCTAAACGGACTCAAACTCCTACTTCTAATTAGACTACTTACTTTTAATGGTACTACAATTCCTTCTAAGAATAGGGGATAAGATAAG